AATAAATCAAAAAATTAGCCGGGCGTGGTAGCACACGCCTGTAGTTCCAGCTACTTGGAAGGCTGAGGTGGAAGGATCGCTGGAGCCCAGCACGTCCAGGCTGCGGTGGCCGGGAGCGGCCACTGCACTCAAGTCTGGGTGACAGAGTGAGACTCCAACTCAAAAAACAAAAAACAAAAAAAACACTTCAGTCTCTGAATTCCTTGGGGGCCTAAATCTATAGTTTTTGCTTCAGATGACCTCATCATGGAGCGCATTTTTTGGGTTTCTGCGATTGACCTGATCTCAGGAAACCCCCGAGGGCCTCCATGGCCTACGGTCCTCCTGGCGGATTTGCACTTGCTCCTGGCCAACACCAGGCGGCGCCCAGGACCTAGTCCTGGGTTGGGCCCATCTGGACCGGGATGCAGGTGCAGGCCTGCCTTCCTGGGAGGGAGGCTCCCTCTGGGCTCGCCAGCGCCCGCCGGCCTCGGTCCCTCTCGCCACGCGGGGCTCTGTCCGCCGCTGCCTCGTGCCCGCCCCTCGCCCAGCTTCCAAGGCATCCACCCACACGGCTTGAAGACCCTACTTCACTGGCGCGGGGACTGGCCTGTCATCCGGCCCTCTGGGAGGCCGAGGCGAGGGGATGGACTGAACCCGCCAGTTCGAGACCAGACTGGGCCAGTTGGCGAGGCCTCAGCTCTAAGATAAAAATTTTAAAAATCAGCTGGGCGTGGTGGCACGTGCCTGTAGTTCCAGCTACTTGGTAGGCTGAGGCAGGAGGATCGCCTGAGCCCCACAGGTCGAGGCTGCAGTGGCCGTGAGCGTGCCACTGCCTTCCAGCCTGGGCGACAAAGTGAGACTCCAGCTCAATAATAATAATAATAATAAAACCTCCACTTCGTGCCATGGTGTGGCCGTGAGAGGACGCGAGAGCATCTCGGCCACCACACCGACTCCTTCCACCCGGCTCCTGTCATACTGACGACCACTCTCAGAAGCAGGCGTTTCATGCCCACCCTACCGAATGTGAGGAGAGGGAGGCCAAGCACACACACCCCGGGTCACAGAGTCGAGCTCTGAAGAGGATGCTGGCCCCGTCTACCCGACTCCAGGGCACAGGGGAGGAGGCCCAGCCTTCAGGCCCGCCCTGAGCCCCACACCCCACGCCCATAGCTCCGTGGTACCTTCTGGCGCTTGTAGATGGTGGGCAGTGGAGCCACCTCGCAGTCCTTGTGGGCCCCAAAGACCTTGCAGAGGGAGCAGGTGGGCACTTCGCAGCTCAGGCAGTAGATGTTGATCTTCTCTTCCTCGTGCTCCTCGCACATGAGATGCTGCTCCGCCTTGGAGTGCAGCGGCCTGGCGGGAGGGGGCCCTGGGCACCTCTCCAGCCTCCACTCCTGCCCTGCCCCTCCCTCCCCCCCATGCTGTGCCGAGTCCCTTGCAGTGCGATGAAAGGGGACAGAGGAGCTGGAGTTGCCAGAGGCCTAGAGCCAAAGAGAGGCTGCTTTCCGGGACAGGGAAGTCCCTCGGGACAGGAAGCCGTGGAGGCTGGCAGGCCTTGCCGGGGGCTGCCAGCCTCGGCCCAGAGGAGAGGATGGAGGAGGAGCCCTGGCCAGAAAGCAGAGCCTGCCCACCCTGTGGCCTGGGGCAGGGCCCCCAAGTCCTCCCGCCTCTAACCTCCACTCTGGCCTGTGGGTTCCTTGCCGCCCCCAGGCCCTGTCCTCCAGAGAAGCCCTGACGGCTCGCTTAGGCGGCTCACCTGGACGACTCCTGCTTGTAGATGTCGATGATGTTCTCCACCAGCAGGTTCCGCTGCAGGCCGTAGACGCCGTGCCGGTCCAGGACCACCTCGTGCCTGCAAGATGGGCAGCGGAAACGGCCTCCCGAAGACACCGTGGTGGAGCCCCGGGCCTGCCACAGCGGGTTGGAGGCCTGCGGGGACAGGCAGCTTGAGAGCAGGCACAGCAAGGCCCGAGGGTACTGGGGAGGCAGGGAGGAGAGTGGCGCGCGGGGAGGAGTCAGCCCTCTTCTGCAGCTGGGTCCTCTGAGCCCAGGGCGGTGGGCGTGGAGCATTTGCTCAGCCCGCGGCCTGGAGGGCCCTTCCTCCGAGCCCGGCTTTGGCCCAGGCCCAGTTGGGACAGGAACTCTCTCAAAGGGCCCGGCTTGAAGCTGTAGGGGACACTTCCTAATGGACTCTATGTGGGGCCACCAACGTCCCCAGTCGGGCACTCATAGCCACCTCGGGGAATTTTCTGCAGTCCTGGGCAGGGGTGCAAGCAGAGCCTGCTGTGGGACCATGGGGCAGACAGAGCGCGACCAGCTGGGTGGCGCTGGGAAAGCTCAGGGAGCTGGGATCTTGGCTCCCGGGCTCTCGTGCTGCCAGAGAGGTTCCTTTTTGGAGTCAAGGTCTCACTCTGTCGCCCAGGCTGGAGTGCAGTGGCATGATCACGGCTCACCGCAGTCTCCATCTCCTGGGTTCTGGTAATCGCCCCACATCAGTCTCCCGAGTGGCTGGGACTACAGATCTGTGCCACCCTGCCTGGCTAACTTTTAAATTTTTTGTAGAGAAGAGGTCTCACCATGTTGGTTGGTCTCAAACTCCTGGCCTCAAGCAATCCTCTTGTCTCGGCCTCTCAAAGTGCTGAGATTACAGGTGTGGGCCACCACCCCCAGCCTGACTTTTTTTTTTCCTTTTTTACTGTAAAATTGGGCAAGCCTTCAATCCCTGTACAACTCAGGACTAAATTGGGTTTTTCAGTTTACATCCAATAGTGAGTGTGCCAGGTAATTGCCAAGCCTGGCAGAGCCTGTTTGCTGTTCCTTGATGTTCACCCTCTTTTTCAGTCATGGAGGCCTTGAGTTTTGGTGGGACACGTGGTATAAAGACCGCAAATTCAAGCCACCCGTCCAGCGTGTTCTGGATGAAGACAGAAACGTTGTGTGCAATTTTTAGGACACGTGGGGGAGGGGCGTGCCCTCCTCCTCCTCGTTCTCCCTCCTACCGGCTGGAGGGAAGACAAGATGGCTCGGCTTGAAACAGCCGTCCTGGGCCGGGAGGCAGCAGCTACCCACTGAGAACGGCAACAAGATGAAGGGAGCGGGTCTCTGATGACACAGTCCTGGATGGCCCGCCCACACGTTCACGTGAGAAAAGCCACTTGTGACCTTCTTCAAGCCACGGTTATTTTGGGCTTTCTGCCACTTCTCAACCAGCCAAAGACCACACCCTCCGTGAGTGTGGAGGTAGTAGTCACCTGCGACCTGGCGTATTTTGATGTTTCCTCTGCAATGGGGTTCCACGAAACTCTCCAAATCCTGTGCTGTTGAGCAGCTGGAAGGTGGGCTGGGAGGTCCCTTGCAGGCGTAGCCACGCCCACTACGCAGAGGGCGTCCAAGCCAAGGGGCCCCTGATGCTTCCATAGCAAGGGCTGTGGTAGGCAAGGCAGGAGGTGCGGCCCACCGCGAGGCGCACAGCTTACTTGGGGAGTAGCTGGCGCGGGCCACACACACCACATTTTCCTTGGGGTTTCTTGAGACCTGTGAGGAATTAACACCAGCCCACCAGAAACTCGAAACAGATCGGCTGGAGACGATCCAGGGCTGTGTTTGCACATCTGCGCTTCTCAGGAGCTGGGACTGTGTGGACGTTGCTGAGTTTGAGGTTGCATCAAAGCGTACAGTCAGTGGGCTTTTGTTGGTGTGACACAAGTAGCCTTTCATACCCTGCGCTCGCAGCTCCTGAGGGCCCTCGCCAATCTTGGACCGCAGGGGCCAAGCCCAGAGAGGCGCTCCACACGGGTCTGGATGGGAGGAAGGGGACCCACAGCCCAGAGCAAGGACAAGCTCCAGGCACCTCCCTCCCCACTGCCTACTTCCTCTTCCTGAGGCACGAAAGCAGGGCCGCTTGTCAGGCAACATCAACGAGGATTTAGAGCCTGTGGCAGTCCAGCCGTCACGGGCTTTCCAGATTGAAACTGACCGTCAAGAGCTTCTTGTAAAGAAGGCTGGAGAGGTGGACATTTACCCTACTTAGACCACAAGAAGGTAGTGACAATGGTTGACATCACTGAGCTGGGAGCTATTGTCAGTGTGTTGCTTGTTTTAATTCATTTAATACTCAAAGACGAGGAAATTGTGGCCCAGAGAAGTAAAATAAGCTGACACGGTCATCAGCTAATTGGTGGCAGAGCCAACACCGGAATTCAGGCCTTCTGGCCCCAAAGCCTCTCTAGCAGCTGTCTTGCTCAGTGCCAGTGTGATACAACGCAGGCCAACTGGAGAGCAATGCCCAGAGTGAACATTCATCTCTGAGTCTCAGGCAGGGACAGATGTTTTTAAGTAAAAGAGTCATGAAGGACCAGACATCAACTCTTTACAGAGGAAAGGAACAGCCTGAAAAGCAACAATGCAACTGTGGGTCAAAGCTATTTAAGCAAGGCTGATGAGAAGATGACTCATCACATGGAAACCTTGAGCACCATGAAGTGCTCTGTGGGCTGCTTTAGCCAGGACTTGTCTGTGGAAGGGAGAGGAGACCACTCCAATCTCAGGGGAGACCTCATCCCCCAGGTCTGTGCATGCCCTCACAGAAGAGAAGTCACTGGATTTCTGGGGAAAACATTCTGGGGTGACATCACTAAACTGACACACTCAACTACCTATTAATAGAGGTCACACCCCTCTATTCACCCACGAAGCCAAAGGACTAAACAGATTTCAAACCAGTGATGACATCCAGCCAGCTTATATTTAAGAGAACACTGGAAGCTAGCCAAGGTCAACGGTGGGCTGAGTCACGCTTGCTCCCTCAGCCCCAAGTAAAACGACCCCAGAAGAGGAGTGGTGAGCAGACGAGACCCAGCAGGAGATGCAGGCCAAGGTCACATGGATGGGAAAGAAAACATGGTGGGCAGTGACAGATGAAGAGACCCTTTGGAAGAAGAACTCTGAACCCAAACCAATTTCCATCTGACATTTTTAAAGAAATAAAGAAAACAATCTCAGCCGGGCTCGGTGGCTCAGCCTGTAATCCTGCGCTTATGGGAGGCTGAGGTGAGCGGATTGCCTGACCTGCGGGTTCGAGACCCGCCTGGGCAACTTGGTGAGACCTCATCTCTACAATTAAAAAAAAAAAATTAACCGGGCGTGGTAGCGCGTGCCTGTAGTTCCAGCTGCTTGGAAGGCTGAAGCGGAAGGATCGCCAGAGCCCAGCATGTCGAGGCTGCGGTGGCCAGGAGTGGCCACTGCACTCCAGTCTGGGCAACAGAGTGAGACTCCAATTCAAAAAAAAAAAAAAAGAAAAAGAAAACAGTCTCTTTGATTAAGAGATATAAGTGATCAAAGCTGGAAAGAGCTTGCAGAATTAAGGAAGGAAACCAATAAAACATCTCATCGACGTGGAAGAAACCTCCACATGGACTGCGGAAGGCTGAGGGCCATGGAGACAGGGGCGAGTGAAAGTACATGGACAGCCGGGCTCGGTGGCTCAGCCTGTAATCCCGCGCCTTTGGGAGGCTGAGGTGAGTGGATTGCCTGAACTCGCAGGTTCAAGACCCGCCTGGGCAGCGAGACCTCATCTCTGCAATAAATCAAAAAATCAGCCGGGTGTGGTAGCGCATGCCTGTAATTCCGGCTACTCGGAAGGCTGAGGCGGAAGGATCGCCAGAGCCCAGCAGGTCGAGGCTGCGGTGGCCGGGAGCGGCCACTGCACTCCAGTCTGGGCGACAGAGTGAGACTCCAACTCAAATTTAAAAAAAAAAGAAAGAAAGAAAGTCCATGGACACTGGCGACTCTGGGCCCTGTCTGCGGGAGACAGCTCCGCATGGCAGAGGAGTCCTCAGAAGCCAGAGGGCACTATCATCGACAAGCATTCTTTTCTTTTTTTTAAGAGACAGGATCTTGCTCTGTCACTCGGGTGGGAATGCAGTGCTGCGGTCATGGATGGCTCACTGCAGCCCTGAACTGGACTCAAGTGATCCTCCCACCTCAGCCTCTCACATAGGTGGGACTATAAGTGCATGCCGTCACGCCTATAGTATAATTTTTTATGTTTATTTCTTGTAGAGACGAGATCTCACTATGTTGCTCAGGCTGGTCTAGAACTCCTGAGCACAAGCGATCCTCCCATCTCGGCCTCCCAAAGTGCTGAGATTATAGGTATGCATCCCCGCGCCTGGCCGATACATGCAGTCTTTGGGCCAGCTTGCCAGAGGGGCAGGGAAGCTGCACCAGGCGCTCCAGCAGCCTCCTCAGAGGGTCTCAGAAGTGCCCGGGGAGGTGGATGCCTGCATCGGCAGCAAAGAAAGGAAAACCTGAAGCCACAGCAAGGGAGGACGAGGCCCGTGGGGAAAGGGGAAGGAAAGCCTGTGTCCCTCCCAAGGGGAAGCGAAAAGCTCCAGGATCCCAAGGCTCCCAGGCAGCCTCCTGAGGCCCTTTGCCCGTTCTGCTCTGAGGGCCACCCAGATCAGGAGAGTGTCCTGGTCTTCTGCTGGGAGGCTGAAGAGAAGCTGGAGGGAGGCCGGAGGAGGCTGCACAGAGGCCGGGCAGCTGAGGGAGGAGGAGGCCGTGGCACGGAGGAAGAGCAGGGAAGTGACACGGAGAGGGGAAAGCTGGGTGCACAGCCGGGGCGTCACCAGACCAAAGAGCAGGAAGAAGAGGACGGGAAGAGAGGCTGTCCGCCAGGCCTCGGAAGCCCTCCCCTCTGTGGGTGCCACCGCTGGACTCCCAGCCCTGCTGCCTTTGCTGATTGCTGGCCAGTCTCGCATGCACGTGCCCATTGGTGCCAGGACCAAAGAGACCCATAATAGGACAGTGGGGTTTGTCTTTTGGACTCTTGGGCCCCCTGACTTCTGCTGCTGAAGGCCCTCACCGCGTTCCCCACAACGTGGCAGGAATGGAGATGGGGACAGTTTGAGGCACATTCAAGGTTTTTT